AAAAAAATTGGAAAAATGTAAGAATATACAATGCTAAAACACTTTCCGATCTTTACCAAAATGATAAAAAACATTAAAAAATATTACAAACAAATTTTTTATTTTTTTATTTTTATATATTTTTTAAAAAAATTTTAAAAAATACTCAGCCAAACCACTGGATTGGCCAATGTCCGATTCTAGTTTAACTAGCCGGTTCTGAAATAAACCAATGCAGTTTGAGAATGAGTTTGGAAGAATGGTATGAACAAACTGGGCACTTCACCTAGTGTTTCCGCAAAATAGGTTGGCCAGGTGAACAGCCTTTCTAATATCTAGTTAGAATCGTCACGATCTTCCGTATGAAAAATTGTCCATAAAAATAAAGAGAATGAAAAGGTAAAAAAATTTAAAAAAATAAATAGATAATATAATAGGTGGAACCAGGCAATTCAGCCAACCCGAATCACATTCCCCAACAAAACAGGGCTAATTTGGACAAGACAAATCCATCTAACTCGGATCAATTCCCAGTTCCAATTAAAAACCGAATTGGTAGGACGGATTAACGATCTGGACCGGCAAATTTTTAAATCAATAGCTTCTTCATCTATGTGAGAGAGTTGGCACATGCCTTTCTCTGATTGGAGCACGCAACGTGGAATTGCATCGAGAGTGTCAGATGAGGCGTGACCATCAAAGCCGATGAATTTACTTTTAATGGCCAATATTTATATAGTAAATGATCAAGTTGCCATTAGTTAAGTGCTAATGTCCTTTAGTTTTTGTGTTCTTTTCTCTGTGTATGTATTTTAATCTATTTCTCATCTGAATTATATAGAGTAAAGATATAAAAGATTCTCATTACAATTAGTAGTGCAAGAGTACATAGAGACATAGGATTATAATAAGGGTGCAGGTTGCATATGGATGCATTTAGCTGTAAAGGTAAGGTGCACTTTCAAATTTTATCACGGTATGTAATTTTGATGTAAAATGTCTTTAGAATTATCTCAAAATCTATTTTTATATCTAATTATAAAATTTTAAATTTAAAAAATGGTTAAAATCAAGTAGATCTATGAACATATGAAAATCTTGAAAATGGACAGTGTAGATAATATCTTGTAAAATGCACTATTTCTAAGACTTAAAATCTTTTTATTTTTCATGGTCATACATATCGATGTCGAGATGATCAATCAAAGGGTTTTTCAACATTAAAACTATGTCCGATAGATTTTTGAAGTGCATCTGTAGTTATACATATAAGGTTGCAACTTTATATAAACGTTTTCCTTATAATAAACGTCATATTTCGAAAATCCAACCCCCGGATCATTTATTTATGGGGAAGTATACAATGTTAGCATTTTTATCTGAAAAGAGAGAGAGAGAGGGAAAACTAACGTGTTTTGACACTCCGAGAAATGTAGAGAAAGTCAATTTTAAATATTTCCTTTTACGCATTCTTAGAGCCCACGGGAGAGGAGCATCGTGCAAAGCATGCGAAGAGTGCCAAGCGTATGCTGGTTTATGTGGGCATAAGGGCATTTGAGCTGCACTTTGTACTTGTCTGATGCAATATCAGATGTCGAGGAACATCTACGAGCACCCATTCTATTTTGAGGATCTATAACTCATGAAAGTAACTTCATACGCTTGGAGGTTACATTAAGAACTGCATTTTTTACATCTAACTAATACAGTGACTATAGTCAGATATATGCTATAAAGATCAATGTTGAAACAGCAGACACATGGGCCACTGGTGCAAAACTTTCTACAAAGTCAATACCATATTTTTGGTAGGTATCTTTTTGCCACAATACGAGCATTATAACTTTCAATACTGCTATCTACTTTGGTTTTGACTATACATACCCATACAATAGTTGTCTTTTCTTTTTTGAAAAAGAAACAAGGTCCAAGTATGCATTCGGTCCAAAGCGTCTAACCCATCTTGCATTACATATTTATACAATATTAGTTAATATTATAATATTTTAAATTTGAATGATTCAATAATAATTGAAAATATTGAAAAAAAATAGTTTTTTCTTAATCTAATGGCTATCTAAGCATTTTAATTTCTGTAATTACATAATACTTAAATTTTGAGCTATATTTTAATTAATTAGAATTCTAATATAAAAAAATATTAATGCACAATTATAAATATTCAAAGAAAAAGCCTGAGCGGGTAGAGGATTATATTCAGAAGATATAGGCTTAGCCCTTACGTAGAGAAGTAAACATTAGAAATCCACAGGAAATGCAGTTTCAATTCAAAAACCCTAATTATACTTGTTATAAAATTTGAAGCTAAAAAAGGTGTAGATTATAAGTACTTGAAGAAAAATAGTCCACATAATTTGTTATAGGATAAACTGTTTTTTGGCTTAAAATCTTACCTTTTAAGAAATTACCTAGATCAAGATGATTAACATGAGGACTTTTTTTAATTTTGGAACTATAATATATGATGATATTTGAGGTACAGCTTTCTTTTTTCTTTAAACCTCGATTTTAT